TTTTTTTTTTTTTTTTTTTTTTTTAAATGAAAAACCCGCGTGATATCGGCCCGACGTCAAGCAGGGCTTCCGCGGGGTACCGGGGTTGGACAACCTGCTGGGGGAACGGGGGAACGGCTACATAAAAAGGTCGTTCAGTTCGGCCGCACGTCATTTGCCGCGCGAGCCCGAACGCGTCAACGCGACAAACGCATTCCCCCTGCGTCCAACGCAAGGGTGCGAGAGAGAGAGAGAGAGAGAGAGAGAGAGAGAGAGAGAGAGAGAGAGAGAGAGAGAGAGAGAGAGAGAGAGAGAGTGAGAGAGACAAGATTGGCTTACCACGTTGAAGACATCGCCACGGCGCGTGCTCGACAGAGAGAGAGAGAGAGAGAGAGAGAGAGAGAGAGAGAGAGAGAGAGAGAGAGATACAAGATTGGCTTACCACGTTGAAGACATCGCCACGGCGTGCACGGGCGCGCACGAGAGAGAGAGAGAGAGAGAGAGAGAGAGAGAGAGAAGCAGCGGGAGCGGGTGGTGCAGCGGAGACGAAGAGTGCAGCGTGGCGGGAGCGACCGGGGCAGCGGCAAGGACGACGATGGCGGTTCTGCACGTCGGCGCACGTCGCGAACACACGGCGTTGAATTTTTAGTTCAACGCCGTTAAACGCAATTTAACGCGTTTAACGCGTTTTAACGGGATTTTACGGAATTCAACACGATTTAACGAGGCCGTTCGGGGGCCTCCTCGCGTCGGGCGGCGGGGTCTGGCGGGTGTTCGGGGGGAGTTGCGGTGGCGGCAGGGAGGGTTTCTAGTGTTTGGAGGATTTCTTGTGAAGCGGCTGCCCCACCTCTCGCGATGGGGAGGGCGCAACGGCACGAGCATGAGGCCGCTTCTTAGATGTGCAGGACACGTTCAGGGTAAGGTCCCCTGTGTATCGGTACCTTGTCGTCGGCCAGAAGGTCGACAACAAGGGGGTGATGATGCTGCGTTGCACATTTTGCAACAAAGTATTCTAGGGAACTTTATTCCAGGCAACCAGGCACTTCGTGCAGACGAATTACTGCAAGGCCGTCACTAATGAGGCCTTGTACGAGATCGGAAAACGGACTCAACTGAAGTTCGAGGCCGACTAGACGAAGAAGATTTCCAGGTTTGCAGCGGAGCGTGGACTTGATGTGCCCCGGGTCGGTGCAGCGACGGGAGGAGAGGCGGTGCAGCGGCCGCGAGAGGTGGGGGGGGGCGGAGAGATTGGGCATGGTGAGCCCGACCAGCCATTGGGGGGTAGAGGCGGTGGCATCGAGGGGGACGTGATCATCGACGATCGCGAGGCACGTGGCACGACCCGGGAGGGATTCCCGGGACACGAGGATCAGCCTGAGTTCGATCCATTGATGGGGGAGAGGATCGTGGACTGGCAGCGGCGAGGGGGCAAGGGGCAACAGCCTCCTGTGCAGGAACCGCCGGGGGAGGGTTCTTCCAAGAGGAAGGAAGGGGGGGCTGTTCCGGCTACCACTCAAGCTGGAAAGAGGCTTAGACAGGAGAATGTGGATGACGTGTACGGTGGCGAGTGGGTTGCTTGCCACAAGAAGGCCTTCCTTCGCTGGCTTTATTCCAGCGGGGTTTCCTTCAATGCCTTTCGCAATGAGGCATGGAGGGCATATCAGCAGGTGCTTCTTCAGCAGCCTGGCAGTTCGCCGCTCGCTGTGCTCCCTAGCCACAGCGAGATTGCGAGCATGCAGGCAGTGGAGATGCACCGTGCGGAGTTGGCCGAGGAGTTGGAGGAGGTGAGGCAGCCATTTTGGGTCTCGAGGGGTCGTCATGTACACGACGATCAATCGAGAGGGGGAGCCGGACGATGCTGTGCACGTCCTTCGGAGATGGGTGACCATTTTCCACGAGTTCAGGTTCGGCGGGCCGCAGCGGGTCAATAGCGGGTCAATGCGATATGCACTGACTCCGCGTCAGCGTACGTTGGGGCTGCCAGGGCTCTGACCTCGGAGACCATCCCTGCAACATTGAGGAGGATCACTTGGCTCCCATGCTCGGTCCATGTCTGCAACAAATTGTTGTCAGACATGGGGACGTGTTGCGACGCGTTTGTTGATACTATCACACGCGCTCGTGTGCTGGTGGTGTTTTTCAAAACCCACCAGGCGGCCCTTCATTTTTTTAGGAAGCGCAGCCCCAACCTCGGTCTGGTTCTTTCATGCGAAACGCGGTTTGCGTCTGTGTACTCCATGTTGGAGAGGCTCATGGCCCTGCAGGACACTTTGCAGGACATGATGCGAGGGGATGACGCGCGGGTTTTTGCCTCCATCCCGTGGTCTGCCGATGTTTGCTACATGGCGCGTTGGGTGCGCCGACAGATCAGATGGGATCCTTGGTGGCAGAGGGTGGCCACCATCGTCCATATCATGGAGCCCGTGATGCAGTTGCTCTGACGGATGGATCGTGGAGGGCAGTTCATGTCGCTCGTGCTCGAGTGGGCACAGGATCTTGTGCAACGGGTGAAGGAGGCATGCGCTCCTTTGGGGTCCTCGATCGCAGACCGGATCATCAGGCGTGTGCAAGCACGCTCCCAGCACATGCTAGAGCTGGCCCACTTCGTTGGGTTCTTACTGAACCCCCGCAGGCGACATGTTCCATATTTTTCGGGCGAGGTGCAGGAGTACCATGCTTGGCTTGTGAGACAAGCCAAGAGGTACATTCTGACGCAGACGGGTTTCGATTTGGAGGGTGCGGAGTACCTCCTTGCCTGCCGGCAGTTCGAGGACTTCCACATGCAGCAGGGCAGGTTTGGTGATTAGGGCAGGGCGGAGGGGCGTGCTCGTGGGCGCGCGTGTAGCGGTGACACCGAGACGATCGAGTGCGCGTCTTGGTGGTCCCAGTACGGGGCTCGCGCCCCTGAGTTGCAGCGGTGCGCTCTTCGTGTGATGCACATGTGGTCTTGCGCCTCTCCAGCGGAGAGGAACTGGGCAGTCCACGAGGGCATCCACACGAAGAAGCGCAACAGGTTGGCCTTTGAGAAGGTCGTGCAGCTCGTTGAGATCACCGCAAATGTGCGGTTGACAGAGTATCGGCGGGCAGGATGCGGTTACGTGCTGCCATGGCAGCGTGGCGAGGGGATGTTGGACTGCCAGGCAGGACTAGAGGTTGAGCCGGTGCGCACGGGCACGCGCCAGGGGATGACGGCGGCGGAGATTGCAGAGCAGGTTGCGCTTATTACGCGCGATCCCATCGGGTCTTCCGCACCGCCATCCGCTGATGCCGTTTTTGAGAGACTTGCTTGCATTTTTCGTCCGTACCCCAGGGACGATGACTCGGATGAGGAGCCCGCACCCGAGGGATCAGATGACCCTGCCCTGCCCATCCCGATCGAGATCGACGAGACGCATGAGGAGGCCAATGATGCCGAGGTGAGGACATACACGGCTCGGTGGGCAGCGGACCGGGCAGAGGAGGAGATGCAGGGGGGAGACGAGGATTTATGGGGCCCTTTCGGGGAGGTGGCTTCCACGGGTGATGCGCGTGCTGACAGAGGCGGGGCCTCTCATGCCGACACGAGCCGTGCAGAGGCGGGGAGACCAACTCCTGCTCCAACCGGGCGAGAGCCGGCCGTTCAGCCACCTCCTGCGCCGGGTCCGGCACCGCCCACCCCCGTCTCGCCTCTACAGCCGGCCACTACACAGGCGGAGACGGAGGAGTTGGCATCCTCCTTGCCTCCGCAGGGGGGTCTGCAGAGATCGACGGTGGTTCGACAGCTGAGGTTACGATCACCTTCCCCGGGGGTATTACAGGAGGAGGGGGATGTGGCAGCAGCAGCGCAGGAGGCAGCAACAGTCTCGACAGCGAGGGAGGAGGTGCCAGCACAGGCGACGGCTGAGGAGGAGGTAGCGGCAGCGAGGCTGCAGGAGGCCGTTCCTATGGATCATGACGGTGTGGACACCGATGAGCAGCTCGTGCGGCGCTTCATCACGGAGGAGGTTGATGCAGTCGTGGGGGGTTTGACCCCGGGGGCGGCGATGGAGTTGGGGATTTCTGGTCCCACAGGGGGGGCGGGGTCAGAGATGGGGACGCACTTCGACTTCGACTTGTCGATGGGCCCTCAACCTACTTGCGGCGGGGCGACATCGACGGATCGGGCGCCGTCACGGAACAACGCAGCAGACGCGACGGAGACACAGACCCCGATGGAGAGGACGCAGGTAGAATCTCCAGATACAGCACGCGACATCATGGAGCGAGAGAGGGCTCGACTTATGGCATCGAGTAACCCGCGTGCTCAGGCGTTCGCACGACACTTGGAGGAGACCAAGCGTCGAGAGACTGGGGGGGATGGTGTGCAGGGTGGGGTGGTGGCTGGGGAGGACGTTATGGAGGGAGTAGCAGTAGAGGCCGACGATGAGGCTATACGGGGTGGGCCAGAGGCAGTGGATGTTCCTGTGGATCGCCGGCCACAAGCAGCGGATGAGGCTGTGCAGGCAGGACAGCAGCGAGATGAGGGGGCTATAGACGCACGGCCCGTGGTTCAGGAGACAGCGACGGATCCAGTCGTTCCTTTCTCGGGCCTGCACTTGGCTCAGGGCCGACAGTCGCAGCCGGTTCAGGCGGCAGTGCATGGTGTGCCACCGCCCGTTATCACGGATATGGGGTCCGAGCCGGTGGTGGTGCCTCCACGTCTTCCTAGTCACTTCGCTCCGCAAGAGGTCCGTCGTCCTTTGGATGCAGATGAGTTGGCTAGAGAGGCTGTGCGTGATGTTACTCGATTGGACCGACGGATCTTCGACCGGAGGCTCGACCATCCAGCATGGCAGGCGATCCCTTCGGTTCCATGGGGTCCTGCGTCGCCCGTGTGGTCTGGGTCTACCTCCACCGGAGGACGTACTGCGGGAGATTTTCCAGGGGTTTCGGGTGGCGTGCAGGAGACAGCGCCACATACACGAGACATGCCACCCCCTCCTCCTAGACCACCTGTAGGTGATCCATCATCGTCGCCCACAGGCAGAGGCTCTCGATCCCCACAGACGCCCGGGAGATCGAGGATTCGTGACACGACAGCAGTTCTACGGGACGTGTGTGACACGTCCATATTCGGGAGGACAGACCTAGATTTGGATTCTACCCGCCGTGTCACGGAGCACATTGCACGCCTTCAGCCAGGGCTTGGGAGGACTTGGCGCCAGGACGACCGCAGCGAGGGAGGTGCCAGCATCAGGTTGTGAGCCTCAGCGAGGTCGTGGTAGTGGAGTGTCCGCCGACACCTTGGAGCACGCTCTGAGAGCAGCGACGCGTGCTGTGCAGGAGCAGACTCCGCGCAAGCGTGGAGTGCCTCCTCGTCCACGCCCTGTGGCTGCAGAGGGAGG